GAGACCAGCACCCCCACCCCCTGGCAGCGAGGGGCTGGTGCTGCCCTCTCATAGGTGCTGTGGTCCAGCACAACTCCGGGGGGTGCTGGCAGAACCGGGATGGACATGGGTTGGCAGAGGGGGGCTCCTGCCCTTCACATGGTAGAGTCACATCCATCCACCCTCTTTGCAGATGGAAGAAGTACCGCAGCTGCAGATTGGCCCAGCAGGGAGCCCCCAGGCCCACATTTGAAATAGAATCGGCATCCATGGATCCAAGTCTGTCTGTTGCTCCTGGTGAAGCCCCTGACATTAATCTGCAGACCCTCTCTGTGACCCCTCACCACCAACCAGCTGGACCCTGCATTGGCCTGTCCTGGGCTCTGAACTGCTTAATTAAAAAACCTGAGAAGCTCCAACCCTGTCTGGCGCAGAGCTCCTGCCAGGGAGTGCACCGCACAGGCCCACACACAGTGTTTTTGTTTTAAGACCAGCCAGCTCTCCGTCTTCACTGGAACACACTGAATAAATTTCCCTTTATTAGACACAGACTCGCCCATTACAGCCTCTTTCCCCTCATTATTCCTGCATAAGCTTGGGCATAATGGGCCTCCAGTCCCCTTTCACAGCATTCAGAATCCTGGTCCCTTAAGGGGCCCAGTCAGGCACGGCTTTGTGCAATTTATGGGAACAGGCAGGAGGGGACAGGAGGGAGCGAGTGGGCCTTAGGGGGCGCTGCTGCTCCGCCTCCCTGAGCCTCCTCCTCTGGGCCCCAGTCCTGGGCTCCCCAGCCCCCAGAGTCTGGATAATCCAGCTCCTCCAGGCTGCCGCCCTGGGGCTCCGCTGGGTGTGGAGGGAGAGGTTGGAGTGGGAAGGGGCTCCCTACAGGAAGCAGAGCTGCCGGGTCCCTTCTGGCCTCTTGCCTGTCCCAGCCCTAGCACTTGCACACATACACACTCACACCCAAACACACACTTCTCCACCTCCAAGCCATTTGCCTGAGCCTGATTTTCCCACAGAATCCAACACTTGGCTAAGGGACTCCAGCCCCTCTGGGGTCACAGCTGCCCACTGCTGTGGTCCAGGCCTCAGTCTCCCCTCCTGCACTGTGGGGTGTGGCCCCTGCTCTCCAGATCCCCCTGCTTGGACTCTGGGCTCATGGGGCTCTGCCACGCCTCCTCTTGCCTCGACCTCCCTTGGTGATAGGAAGCTGTCACTTCCCTCCCTTCTCAGCTTGTCTGCTGGCTCCTGGCCTGGCTCCTGAGAGAGCGACCTTCCCACAGCTCTGCCCATGCCAGCAGCCCCTCAAGAGGCTGTGGAGCCTGTGCGAAGGGGTGGAGGGCAGAGGTCACTGGGTCCCCTGCTGCCAGCTCCCATCCCCCTTTACCCACTGCTCCAGAGCTGCTCTTGGCCACCCAAGGCCACTGAGTGTGTCAGAAGCCTGGCCAGGGCCAAGGTCATCCTGAGACAAGGCAGAGTGGACACAGGACGCAGAAGGCTCAGCCTCCCAGAGAAACCCCAGCGGGCCCCACCTCGGGTGTTGGAGTCTCTGGTCACTTGAGAGGATGTGGGAGCCGGCCTGCCCACCCCTCCTCGGGTCAACTCTGCAGTCACCTCTGTACGGGACAGGTGGTCAGGGCTGCCGGGTCCTCTCCGCCGTCTGCCACAGTCCTGTCCTGCACACTTTGTCTGCACCTGGATGTCCCCTGTGGGCGCCTCACCATGGCCGCCAGCCAGGAGACAGCAGCATGTGGTCAGAGAGGCTCCCACAAGTCCCGGGATGCAGAGTGGGCAGTGGCTGGCTCCACCAGGCCCAGGGGCCGCATCCCCTGCCACTGGAAGGGGCCTGGCCGACCTGGATGGAGGACCATGGGACACCGCCTGGGCCTGGGCGAAAGTGGACCCAGGAGCGGCCCTTGGGAGGAGCCCAGAGGTAGGCATGACTCCGTGTGGCATCTGAGAAGCTGCAGGAGTTTGTTCCCCTGAACTGAGAGGTGGTGTGAGGCATCGAACTCTGCAGGCCTTGGGCCATCACCTCCCGGAACGCATCCTCCCAGCGCTTATTTTACTTGGACTATATGAGGGCTGCTCTCCCCCGGCAGACTGTATGCAGGGAGTCTCCATCCAGACAGAGCACAGCTCCTGAGCAGGGTGCAAGGCAGGGGGTGGGAACAGAGCAACGGGTGGAGGTGCCCTGGGACCCAGGGGCCTGGGGCACCTCTCCACTTGCTGTGTCCTGAGAGAGCAAACCAGGAAGGATCCTGGGAGCAGCACAGGAGCTGGGGGCTGACCTGAAAAGGCCCTGGGGCTGAGGCAAGCTGTGGACTTGAGCCAGGCAGCAGTGTGGTGCATGATGTTGGTGAGTTTTCGGGCAGCCAAGGTGGAGCCTGGAGCCCAGCCCTCCCTGGAAAGTTGCACTCCCAGGAGCCCCCCTAATGCAGAGGAAGGGAGCAGGGTGCCTCCCCAACCCTAACACTTTGAGCTGAATCTCCTCTGACCATATGGAATCCTCCTTAATAGGGAAGGCGGAAGAGCAACAGCATCAAAGGCCTTTTCTGTGCCTCTTCTCTGTGGGTTCCTGTAGGAAGGGGAGGCCTGGGCCACAGCCAGACCTGGTGCCGAGAGCTGGAGAATGCCTATCTTTCTTTCTGGGGATAAAAATGTCTCTCTCCTCTCTGAAGTTGGATTCCTCCATGTTCTTTGTGGGCCGCAGGAGACTGGAGCTGGCAGGGCTGGGGACCTTTCCTGGAAAGCTAGGCCTTTTTGTGAGGGGCCAGCAAGGAGGACGGGCAGCCGAAGGTCCATCCTGGCCATGCCGTCCTCAGGCAGCAGTGTCCAGGTGCACCCAGGATGCTGCGTCTTGGCTACAGGCCTTGCTGTACCTCCCCAGGGTGTCCCAGCCTTCAAGCTGCAGGGCACAGCACTCAGAGCCACCCTGGGGTCTGCAGCCAGTGCAGCTGAAACAGGACAGCCAGTCCCACCATGGCCTTGGTGTCACCCACAGTGTCATGGCTAGTAAAAGGAGGTGTGGGAAAAATAGCCCAGTGTCTGGGACCCTGCCACTGGGTCGCTGGCTCAGGTGAGCCATCCCTTCTCACCCTCCAGGTGCCCCTCATGATCCAGGCCTGCAGATCCAGGGTAGGAAGCAACACCCAGGGCTGAGGTCCTATAAAACAGGGCAGCCAGTGCTGCAAGGATCAAGGACAAAGGTACTGAGGCCGGGAAGGGAAAGTGAGAGCCTCATCATGGGCTGTAGCACGGCGTTACCTGTGGGTCTGTAACACAAGAGCTTACCAGGTTCCCCAGGACACATGTGTGCTTGGCCTCCTCTGCCAGCCCGAGGCTAGGGGTGTAAGCAACAGAAACGTGTCTTCTCAGCATCCTCCATCCTGTGCAAATCTGGGATCCAGGCGGCAGCAGGTGGCCTCTGGCTGCCTCCTTGGTTTGCAGGTGACTGTCTCCCCTCCTGGTCTTTCCCTTGCACCTGTATTTATCTAAATAGCCTCTTATTATGAAGAAAAAAGCAATTCTGGTTGAGACCTACTCCCATGACTTCCTTGTAGTTCAATTACCTCTTTACATGTCCTGCACCCAATATAACCATACTGTGACATACTAGGGGTTAAACTCCACTGCATGCATTTTGGGTAGGGGGATACAAGTCAGCCCATAACAGTCCACCTGCAAAAACCAATTGTATTGTGTCTGCTAGCAACAATCAGAAATGGAAGTTGTTCCTGCTCTCTTTTTTGTACAAAAATGTCACAATGAAATCAGTGTTCTGTATAATTGATATGTACTAATAAAATAAGTAAATAAATAAAAGAAAAAAGAAATCCAGTGTTTTTAAAGAAGGACTTAAAAGATTGTCACTGAAATAGTTGGAAATAAATGTAACAAAATATATTCAAGTTCTGTACACTCAAAAATGGCAAAAAATATTGTTGAAAGAGATTAAATAAATATTTGCAGAAAATATATAGATGTACTATGGTTATGAATCAGAGGATTTAATACTGTTAAGATGTCAATTTCCCCAAATTGATAGGTATGTTCAGAGCAATCCCAATCTAAATCTCCATAGACTTGGCCACAGTAATTGACAAATCTATTCTAAAATTTACATGGAAAAGCAAAGTGCCAGGAATAGCAAGGACAAATTTGGGGCAGGTAAACTACATGACCTCACTTCCAGACTTACTGTGTTACAGTCGTCAGGACCAGGAAGTGCCCCTATAAACATAGACATATGGATCAATGAGTGTTAGGGTTTAGGTCTAGAATGTCCCCCACAAGTCTTGGGCGTTCAGAGTTGGGGCTTTTAGAAGCTGATTGGATCATGGGGGTACTGTATTCATCAGCAGATTGATCCAGTCATGAATTTATATCTAAATATGGCACCAGGAGGTGGGGCCTGGAAGATGTGTGTACCTGGAAGGGTGTCTTTAGAGGGTCTATTTCCCTCCACAGCTCCTCCCTTCTCTTTCTGCTTCCTGGCTGCCATGGGTTGAGCAGCTCTCCTTCACCAGGCCTTTCTGCCTTGGAGCCAACAGACCATGGACTGAATCATCTGAAACCATGAGCCTACTTAAACCTCTCCTCCTGTAAGTTGTGAGCAAGCTGATGAATACCATGAGACAGACTCGAAATTCCAGATGACCCACACATGCATGGCTATTGATTTTAGGAAAAGATAGTGGGAAGGAGAATTTTTTTAAACCAATGGCATTGAGACAATTGACTACTTCTGTGAAGAAAAACATCGGAGATTCCTACCTTACACCATTAACAAAAGAACCAGAAGAAGAAAAGAGTTAAATATTTTAGTAGACTGTAAAAGTTTTAAAGAAAAATAAAGAAGTACATTTTTATATTCTTTGGGAAAAAAAAATGTGTGAAGCAAAATATGAAACCCAGAAGGTGTAAAGAAAAGGACTGACAGCTTTTATCCAAAAAAATCATTTTATGTATTTTGTTTGACCAAGGACGCTATTATACAAAAGCCAAAACACAAGTGACAGATGGAAGAAATATTTGCAACCCTTAATATAAACAATTGATTATTACTTAGAAAAAATGCAGAGTGCTTAAAAGTTAACAAGCAAAAAGTATGACAAACCCAATAGAAAACAAGTACAGATTACCAGCAGGCAGCTCAAAGAGGGAGAAATGCAATGAACATAATGTAAAGAGCCGGGGATTTAGCTCAGTGGTTCTGACGCCTGCCGCACAAGCACAGGGTCCTGAGTTCAATCCCCAGTACCAAAAAAACCCAAAAACCCCCCCCATAATGTAAAGAAATGCAAATTGGAGCAGTGAGATAATATTTTGTCTCCAAACTGACAAAAATATTCAGCACAGGCTCCGGGACAGGAGGTAGCCACAGACACCCCATGCCTTGCAGGGCGAAGTGGTGAAGGTTCAACTTCCCAGTGTCCAGAAGCCTCACAGAGGAGCGGACCCTTCAGCTGTGCACACACATTTCTAGAAACCTTCCCTGTAGAAGAACAACCAGACATGATCACGAGATGCATGTGTCCGTTTCCTAGGGATGCTCACCAATTCCCACAAACATACTGGCTTAAAAACTGCGAATTTATTCCCTACACCATGAAAGGCAGGAGACTGGAGTCAGGTGTTGGCTGGTGACTCCATCGGGCCCACCGATGATCCAGGATGGCCTCCCATCTCCAGATCTTTACCTTAATCCCATCAGCAAACTCCCTTTCCGACAGCGCAGCCAGGGGTCCTGGGGATTTGGACTCGGACATCGCTGGGGAAGAGGGGTTGTTGTTCTATTGCACTGGTCACTCGGGATGTTTGTCTCTTACAAAGTGAAAAGCGGAATCACTGAATGTCTTACAGCAAGGACCGTGTGGTTGATAGTGCTTAATATGTGACAGATGGCAAAAAACCCAATGTAGCTACAGGTATTTCTATGGGAATATTTCAAGATAAGAATGGGTTTATTTACTGGCTGTGTGATGACCACACTGAAGGCAAATAGGGCTTGTCACCTGCCTCCCCCGTTCCAAGTTGCCCCCAACCCTGAGAGGACAGATTCTTGTCCCCACACTGGGTTAGAGCGAGGCTGGGCAGGGCTGAGCGCCCCCCGGGTCTCCTGCCTCTGCGGCCCGTGACCTGTTCACCGTCTGGGGACCCTCCCGTCGCCAAAGCCCGAACTTGCTTCCTCCATCGCTCTCCACTCAGCAGGAGGCACCGCCAAAGTGTCTGTCCTTCCCCAAACATTACACAGGCTCCTCTTCTTCGCCCTCTTTGCCACGAGGCCTCGTTCCTGGGCGTCTTTGGCTGGTACAGCCCAGCCTTTGCCAGAGTTCTGACTGGCACAGCAAGCGCCTCCAGGTGGACACCAGCTCACTCCTCCCTTATCCCTGTGCCGGGCCCCAAGTCCTCCCTGGATGCCAGCCCAGGCCCTCCTCAGGCCCTTCTCAGACTCCGAGCGCTGCTTCTAAGAAAGCCCAGCACCCTTGCATTTGGAAGTGAGTCCCATCTCTGTCCCCTGGTCCTGACAGCCCGGGCCTGGGCCTGGCTCTTCCGCAGCAGGCAACGCTCCCACGAGGTCATCAAGCAGAAGACAGACACCCCTACCCTCCATCGCCAGATAGCTGGGTCAGAATTTGTGAGTTTTCACTCTGCTCAATTTTCAGCAGTTTTTGCCTTTGAATATTTTTTGTCAGAATTAAAAAAAAAAAATCCACACCAGTTTGCCAAAGGGTGACCCCAAGAAATTTCAACACACAGTCCCTCATGCCTGCGCCCTGTACCTCCCCGCTGCAGCAGGCCGTCTATGCGACTCTCCACGCAGGATGGTGTCCGGAGCTCTGAAGGCATGGGAAGCCACCCGCAGTGTGTCCCTGCCCTCAACTGATGCTCCTGTCCACAAATCAGAGTATCGAGTCCTCTGCCTACACGGAATCCAAGTCCACCTGTTCCAACCACAGAACCCGGCTCAGGACACCTTGGGAATAACAGCTGGGGCCCCCAGGAGAGCCAGGGCCTGAGCGGGGAGCCGCAGGCTGCAGGGGAGTCAGAGGCACCTTCCTGGTCGAGGCCTTCAGCCCCAAACCCCCGCTGGGTGTGGGGAGCAGACCAGCAGATGGTGCCAGTTGCAACACAAGGGCCAGCTAGCTCGCTTTCTAACTCGGGAACAGGGAGCTGTTCTCTTATGAGAGACCGCAGCAGCAGGGAGCAGGTGGAGGAGGTATTTTGGGGCTTGGAAGGGGCCTCCACAGCCTGTGAAATCACACCAAGTGGGCGGCCACCTACTCTACCTAAATATACAGCCGGGCTCTGCTGCCTCCCCGCCAGCTGTCCCCACCTGGGACGCCCTCTCACCAAGGAGTCCCTGAACACCCCGAGGCTGGAGTCATCCCCATACCATGCCGGTATCTGTGGGCTCCCGAGCCCTGTGTCCTCGTGGGTAGTGAGCCGGAGAGTAGAGGGTGCTGGAGAAGCCACCTGTAGCCAGCGTGACATCCAAAGCATCTGGCATCCCCTGTGTGGCTTCCTTCGTCTGGGGCCTGCCATATCCTCCTCTTTATCCCCTTCCAAGGAGCGCAGGCACCTCTGCCTGAAGGTCTGGATCCTGGGCCCCGCCTCCTCCTCGCTGAGCAGGGGCAGGGCTCCTAAGCCCAGCAGAGGCTGAGGGGTGGAACCCGGAGGTGTCACTGAACCCCTCAGAGGAGAGCAGGCTTCACAACCCCCAGCCTGGCCTGAGAGAAGCCTGGTGACTCAGGGCCACGTAAAAGGGCACTTCCTGTCTCGGCAGTCTCTGTCCAGAGGTGGACACAACAGAAGGGCCAAACCCCGGGGGCAGAGACTGGGGAAGGGACGAGGGAAGGCCACAGCCCCTGTGCAGGTTTTATCCATGTAAAGAAAAATCACAGCTGGCGATTTTCTTGGGAATGGGGGACTCACACAGCAGAGAGAGGCAGGTATGTGGGCCCCAACCTCATCAACTGCAGACTTTGAGCTCCTTGATGACAGAGGGAGCCTGTAGTCCTTGCCAGTGGCTGTCCCGGCCCTGGAGACCGAGGACCCACTACCGTGGGGGCTCTGGGGAGAAGAGTGGAGGGGTGATCTGCTTTTATTCCGTCTCCCACCGAGCAGGGGGCCTGTCACTCTGCACCGAGCGTGTGTGCCTGGAGGAGCACGTGCACATGTTGGTGCCAGGCCAGCCTCCCTGCTGGCTCCGCATGGGGCTGGGGACAAGTTGGCCGTGGATCTTATGTAATGCTGCAGGCACTGCCGCGCTGAGTGTTGGAGGGGCGTGCAGGGACAAGTGGAGGCAGGAGTCCTGAAGAAAGGTGAGCCGAGAGCCACCTGGGCATGTGAGGAACCTGGGCACAAGCTCAGGATGTGCAGATAAATGTGGGGGGACTGTGGGCCCCCTTTGAGGCCCGGAGTTGACTCTCCAAGAGCCCGTCCTGACCTCAGATGCCTTGTGACCTTCTGGGCCAATAAGTCCCCTGATACCTGCTCTGGCTCTTATTGCCTGCCCTCATCCCCTCTCTCCACAAAGCCCCAGTCTGCCTCCACACTCTCTCCCTGGGCCGTCTGTCACACTGGCTCCAGTCCTCATGACCGCCAGGCCTGTTAGGTGAGTCTCTTCCTAACTATCCCCTCCCAGGCCGTCTCCCTAAAGCACAGGCAGAGGTTGGCCCTCCCCTGACAGCTCAGGACAGCCTGACGTCCTCCTGAATGAACACACACAGGATGTGTCCTTGCTGGGTGCCCAGGGCTGCACATGCTCCAACCCTCTCCTGTGCTGTCCCCTGCACACCATCATTCATTCATTCATCATCCCTTAGTCCCCATCCCTTGTCCCCCAGGCCCCTGGGTGGCCCAGGAGCGGTCTCCCTGCACACTCTACACCCCAGGTACCACCTGTGCCCTGCCCTGTTGGAGTCCTCCTCCGTCTCCCCAGTGAGAGGGTACGGCAGGGAGCAACCAGGTGGACTCCAGCCACAGTGCCCCCCAGATCCCAGCTGAGATCTCAGCTTAGCCATATGTGGGCTGTGGGACCCAGACTCCTGTCCCCCCACAGGCTGCATGCCTTCCTGAGGAACAGGGAGGACAGAACACAGCATCCAGGGAAAGCTCTGAGGCTCTGCCGCTGTGGGGAAGTGGCCCCTGGGGGCACCATGCTGGGCGTGGTGGGGATCAGACTGCCTGATGGTTAGCAGCTCGGCCACTGGGAGGAGGGTGGCCAGGGCAGCCCCACCCCACAGGCCCTCCAGGGGGCATTGGGGCATCCAGAAGGCCCCAGTTCCCATCCGGAGCTGGTGTCCAGTCCTGGGCTGCAGTGCATTCTGGGAACCTGGGGGAAATCCAAATTCCTCCGGAGTGGGGTCTTAGCATTAGCCCCAGGATCCTCGATGTCCCTGGTCACTCTCTGACCTTGTACTCTGTACTCAATTCACTTGAACAGCCCTTGTGATGGGGCACTTCCTCCCTCCAACGCCAGCCCCCGAGCTTTGGCCGATGACTCTTCTAACCAAGCTCCTGGTCACACCCTGGACCGTGCTCACAAACCATCCCATGTGGGGGCTCCAGGCACCTCTTCACTTCTGCAGAACCTCCCTGGGACAGCCGGGGAGTCTGGGAGCCGTGACTCCACCCCAGGGGTCAGGCCTAGGGATACAACTTCCTGGGAGGCCACTGGCCACTCCCTTCAGTTCCTGCAAAACCAAGACCTTTGTTTCACTGGGGTCTGGACACGGCCCAGCTCTCTGGGCAGCCACGGGGCATTCGAGGCACACAGCCTGGTGTCTCAGCCCTCAGATCTCACACCGGGGCTTCCTGCCAGGGTGACCCTGCTCCCGTCTGTGGTGGCACTTGGCCTGAATGGGCTCCAGGGCAGTGGTGACAGGCCTGCCAGCCATCCAGACCCCTGCTCAGGGGCGAGTCAAGCTGAGAAGTAGATTGGGTGTGATTCCCTTTCAGCAGCAGTGACTCACGCCCTGCACCAGGCTGTGCGTGGCTCTGTTTTCGTGACTAGGATTTTTTTCTCCTTGTGATCTAGGAAGTTACTATAATTCAGCCTCTGTGTCTCATTTCTCGTGTGCTGTAGCCAAAACACTATTTCAGTTTCGAAAGAGAACCATTCGCTTTTGGAAAGCAGTTGGCCTGACTGGAGGCTCTTTCCGCTGTGCTCCCACTGCCAGCTCTGCCTGACTCCCCGGAGTGCCATGGCTGATGGCACCATCACACCCCAGGCTCTGAGCCTTGAGGCTCCAGGGGGCAGTGATGGACGGCTTGCCTGGAGCCCTGGAGGGAACCCAACACCCAGCCCCCGGCCCCGCATCCAATGTCCACTGTTCCTGCTTGCAGAAATGTCATTAAGGGCTCTGTGCATCAGTGGAGTCGAAGCAAAGAGTCCCCTGCAGCCCAGGAGGCTGAGACCCAAGGAGTCACTCCTCGCCACCTGGGGCAGCCTTGGGTCTGGGGACAGCAGAGCTGTACCAGCCCTGCACAATGTGGGCCAACTGCTCAGTGTCTCGGAGCCTCAGTTTCCTGCTCTGAGTCACAGGGAGGTACCCAAGTGATTGTGAGACGGTGCCTGTGACATTTGTTATGGTGTAGATCTGGATGTCCCCCAAAGAAGGCCGGGTTGGGGAAGGTGATTGGATCATGGGACACTGTGTTCACCAGTGGGTTCATCCATGAGCTGAACCTGCTGCTAGGAAGCGGGGCCTGGTTGGAGGGGGTCACTGGGGGCGTGGTCTGGAAGAGTTTATTGCTTTCCCCTGCTCCTCCCTTCTCTCTCTGCTTCCTGGTTACCATGACCTGAACAGCTCTCTTCCGCCATGCTGCTTCTGCATTTGAGCCTGCCAACCACGGACTGCAACCTCTGAAACCATGAGCCAAAATAAACCTCTCCTCCTTTGAGTTGTGGGTGTTGGGCGTTACATTCCAGCCACAAGGAAGTGACTAAGACCGCATTGTAAATGAGTGTGGTTAATATTACTAATCAGCACACCACACCCCATCCTTGCGAATCCTCGACTGAGCTAAGCTTCAGGGTCATTCCTGGAGCTCGGCAATCGCTGGCCAGCAGAAGGACAGCAGGGGCAGATCTGGAGAGTGCCTGGGTCCTCTCACCTACTATGGGAGAGGCTGCTGCCCTAGCCCTTTGACCACCAATGCATGGTTCTGTTTCACAGACAAGAAAACTGAGGCTCGAAGAAGCCTGGCCCACGTCGCCCCACCAGCAAGTGGGGAGCCTGGACCTGACCCCAGGTTCTCAGCGTTACTTGCTCCTTGGGATGGTCACCCCGACTCACAGGACATTAAAGGGACTGGAGCAGCCATCACTCCCAGGCATCCCAGGGAAGCCACAAAGAGGCCCCAGGCAGAAGTGACTGCCCCCTTGGCCCTGTGCCGTCAAGGTGTCTGGATGAAGCTCTACCCTGGGGCAGCTGAGCCATCTCTGTCCCTCTGCCCTTCGATCTGAGGTTAACCAGGCCCTGCACTCTGCACACGCCCACTTTCTGTCACTCGCCACCCAGAGAAGGGGCAGGGTACTGTGAGATGGTTTTGAAGGGGAAGCTCCCTCCCTGTGACGCAAGCTGGCCAAGTCAAGTCAGGGTGGGGAGGGTCCCTGGGGTGGTGGAGCTGGGCTGGACAGGCCTCCAGCAGAGCTAGAGCTGCAGGCTTCTGTTCTGAGAAATAACAAGGCTTCTGTTCTGAGAAAGGCTTCTGTTCCGAGAAATAACAAGAGGCACAGATCAGCCTGCTTTGGCGTAGCAGTGACAAATTGGCCACCTCTAGAGAGCCTGTCCCTTGCCCGAGGCCCTGAGGCCACTTGCCTCAGCTGGAGCAGGGACATCGTGGCTCCCGTCTGTCCCATCCTTATGGCTGCTGGCCCAGGGACAATATCCTCTGTCCTCCAGCCTGCAGCCTTTCCCTCAACCATAGGTATGGAGCGGAGCAGTGTCCCCAGCCTGGCAGTCTCCTCTGAGCCTCTGTTAGTTCCCAGGCAGTGTGGAACCACCCCGGAAGTGAGTTCTTTAAAACCACAGATTGGGGCTAGAGATGTAGCTCAGTGGCACAGCGCCTGCCTGGCAAGTGTGAGCAGGAAAGTGTGAGGAAGTCCTGAGTTCAATCCCCAGTCCTCACCCTCCCAAAAAACCACAGCTCACCCCCTGCCCGTGGGCCCTAGGGGTGGACTGGCCCTGGCCTCTTCCAATGTCTGGTGGCTCTGGGTGCTCCCTGGCTGTGTCTGAAATGGCCCCAGCTTCTGCCTCTGTGTGCATGTGACCTTGTCCCGGTGTCACCCTGTGTCCCCACCTCATTTTATAAGGAACCAGTCAGTAGATCCGGGCCCCACCTTCAGCCAGGATGACCCAGGGCATTTCCAAAGCCCTCTCTGGCCTCCCGGTGGACATGGCTTTGGGGAGTTTGGGCACTATAGCTGGTTGACTTGAGTCCCTGCGGGGTGGGCGTGGAGCAGCCACCCACCAAGCCACCAGGATGAGCATCTGGGCCTTTTGAACTGACGGGGTCATTTGCCCAGCCCCTTCATCTTCCACCTGGGGAAACTGAGGACCCACAGGAGTCAGAGCCAGCTTCACTGCGTCTGTGGACAAGCGAGAACATGTGCTGTCCTTG